GGGGCTAACAGCGCACACCTGGGGAAGGGGGAAATACGAGGCTAACAGTGCACACCTGGGGAAGGGGGAAACACGGGGCTAACAGCGCACACCTGAGGAAGGAGAATACGGAGCTAACAGTGCACACCTGGGGAAGGGGAAATACGAGGCTAACAATGCACACCCGAGGAAGGAAAATACAGGGCTAACAGCGCACACCTGAGGAAGGGGGACACGGGCTAACAGTGCACACCTGAGGAAGGAGGACACGGGGCTAACAGTGCACACCTGAGGAAGGAGGACACGGGGCTAACAGTGCACACCTGAGGAAGGAGGACACAAAGCTAACTGTGCACCTGAGGGAGGGGGAGACGGGGCTAACAGCACACACCTGGGGAAGGGGGACACGGGGCTAACAGCGCACACCTGGGGAAGGGGGACCCGGGGCTAACAGCGCACACCTGGGGAAGGGGGAATACGAGGCTAACAGTGCACACCCGAGGAACGAGAATACAGGGCTAATAGCGCACACCTGAGGGAGGGGGACACGGGGCTAACAGTGCACACCTGAGGAAGGAGGACACGAAGCTAACTGTGCACCTGAGGGAGGGGGACACGGGGCTAACAGCACACACCTGGGGAAGGGGGAACACAAAAGCACCATCTGTGGGTTAGCTGCGAGCTCCCTAGGGACTAATCCATCATAGTGCCTGTTAGGAAAACGGGCAGCTATCAAAAACTGAAATTGACACACAAAGACATTAATAGACATTCTAGACATTAATGACCTGAGATAGACTAGTAGTGGCCATTTTCAATCAGACAATCTACTACACCAGAAATGACATATTAAAGAGACATGTTATAACACTCACTGTCAAAGAGCATTTGAACTCCTATCTGGAAATACAACGCTGTCACTGACAGGATAATATCCATATACATATGAAGATTTGCTAATACAACTATTATTCGAATACACATACCAACTGCTAAGGCCAAAGATGAACAAACTGAAGATTTCTATAGACTTATACACTCTGAAATTGACTATGCAATTAGCATACATATTTGGTGACTGGAATACAAAAGATGGAATCTACAAACTGTTGTGGTAAAGTTCCAGTCAAGTCGACAACTCACAGTGACCCTAGGAACAACAGGCAGAAGCTCCGCAGCCCCCTCACCAATTCAGAAAAGCTCAGGTTCGCTCTGACGTCACTGCATCAATCTATATCATTGAGGGCATTCATCTTTTTTGCTGACCCTCGACCTTCCCCAGCATGATCTTTTTCCAAGGACTGTATTCTCCTAGCATCTTGCCCAGTATATGAGACAAACTTTCACTATCTTTACCTCGAAGCAACACCCTGGTTTTATCTCTTCCAAGACTGACTTGTTTGCTCTTTTGGCAGTTCATGGGATATTTATTACTCTTCTCCAACACTGTAACTCAAAGGTATCGCTTCTTCTGTCATCCCTAGTCACTGTCCCACTTTCAGATGCACAGGATATAACAGCAGAGACCATGGTTTGTTAGGCACACTTTAATCTCTAAACTGACATCCTTGCTCTTCAGCACCTTGGAGAGGCCTTTGACAGATTTCCCAATGCAACACATCTGTGGATTTCTTGACTATTGTTCACTATTATTACCATGAGTCTTGACTGGATCCAAGGAAAATGAAATTGTGACAACTTCGATCTTTTCTCCATCTATCATGATGTGGTGACAGTTTTCTTTTCCTCGAGGCGATGCAACCCATCATGAAGAAAGCAGCCTCTGACTTTATTCACTAAGTACATCAAGGCTTCTTCATTCACTTTCAGCAAGCAAGGTGTGGCATCTATATAATGCAGATTGATGAGCTCTTTCCATCCTCATGCTACATTCTTCTTCATCATCTATATGAAGAGGACAGACTAGTAGTAGGAAAATTAACAGCCTTGGGAACAGAAATGAGGCTACCCAATCACATGACAAAATTTGATACAATCAATGATTATTCACTGTGAACACCTTTTTAAAAAAAAATATGAGTCACAACTACATGTGAACTACACAGGAATCAGATTAACTTCATCTGTGGAAAAACATGGTGGAGAAATTCAGTATCAGCAGTCAAAACAGGGGCACTGGCTGACTGAAGATCATCAAGTTCTCATGGGAAAGTTTAAACTGTGGTTTAAGACAGTTAAACATGTTTAAGAGGGCTAATACACAATCTTGATTTTATCCCACAGGAATTTTAAAACTATCTCAAGAACAGATTTGATGGATTGAACACTAATGAGAGAAGAACAGACAAGTCATGGAAGATGTCAAGGTCATCACTGAAGAAGAAAGCAAAGGTTATTAAAGACAAAAACAAAAACATCAACACAAATGTCAAAAAAGACTAAAACTTAGGGAGCTCTGGTGGCCTAGTGGCAAGAAGCTGCACTGCGATCCCAGAGGTGCACTGTTCGAATCCACCTGATGCTCTGCTGGAGACGGAGGGACAATCTCCTCCAGTACCAGTCAGATCCAATTTGACGGGACACACACACACACACACAATAAATTAAAAAATTTAAAAAAAAAAGACTGAAACTTA